AGGAGTGAGTTGATGAATGTGTGTTATTGTGATAGGTCCAAAATATTAATACAAGTAAGAGTAGAGCATGTTATGAGATGATTTAGGAAAACTTGATGAAAATTATGGTAAACTCCCCCTTTTTATGTTTTTTAATTTAAGGAGTTAAGTAGTGAAAATTTGATCTAAGAGTATTTCATGTGATATGGTGTATTACAAGAGTTAGTCTTAATGATTTGTATGTGGTCAAATTGGTGTCGGTGGCTATTGGCTTTTGGTATTTGATTTGAGCACTTGACTTTATGAAAATTATTGTAAAAGTATGAGTTTTGAAAAGGGTATTCAATTTTTATTTTAAAAAGAATTTGAGTCTAAGACCAATGTCATTAGTTGGAGCTCAAAAGAGCTTTCTGTAGATACCTAATTCACGTCATTCGGATGGCGGATGGAGATTTGGGCATGTTAGAAGTTGGCCCTAATGCTGTCAAATTGATAGTAGAATTAACTGTCAAAATTCATGCAATTGTGCCACGGCGCGTGTCACAGAAGCGAACATACCACGGTGCATGTTCAACGAGCCGTGGCGCACATCTAAAAATTTTTTAAAAATTCTCTTGTTTTAAATTCTTAAACAAATGCACTCGCTTACAAAATGATCCTATGCTTTCGCATATTTGTAAACTCTAATTTATCTAGTTGTGAGACTGTGAAAATGATTTTAGTTTTGTAAAATTGGGATCCCTATTTTACAAACTATTGAAAACTTTATATTTTGATAATTACTATAATCTCGTTCCCTAATTACTTAGGGTTTAGTTTTAACTATGGGATTAGAATGAGGAAGATATTACAGAAGGTGTTGTAAATTTTCTGTTGGGCAGCAACTTGGTAACATTCCTTAACAATTGAATATACATTACCATGGTTTACCTTTATTACTACACATGCATGAGCATATGGCAATCTTGACATTTGCCAAGTAAGGCAAGAGCATTGACACAGTGAAAGGTTTAGACAAACATCACCTTTCAAAGTTCTAACTCTAACAATGTTAATTCCATAATGTCCTACATCTAAAGTTAACCCCTTTAACATATTCTACATTAACTTTGAGTCAATGTTTGATCTAACTCCATTTTTCCATTTAGATATAGCCAAATTACTTTTATACATCTTTGAAGTCAACTTTTCTTTATGCTCATATATCAGCACTGGGATATTGTGCTTTCTTTCCTTCACAAGCCATGCATTGAAAGACTCTGCAATGTTGGTTGTTATATTGTCCCACCTATTGTAAGGAAACTTACTCATAGCCCAACGATTAATATCTGAATTACTTTCTACCCAACATCCTAAATCTAGACAAAACTCATCAAATCACCCATTACTAGATTGAAGTTAGAATGAAGTCTAACATAGGCTATAGCATCTAATAGTTGAAGTATAGCTTCCTTTATCTCTACACTCTTCCTTTTTCCCCTTATGACTTTCAAAAATTTAGTGCTATAGTTCTCTTTCACATGACTATAGCAAAAAGCATATCTCTCACCACCAAATATAACCCGTATAGCCCTAACTATTGCATTATATCTATCGGACACAATCATTATTTCCCTACATCCTGTCATCTCTTTCAAATTATACAGAAACCACGCCCAATCATCATAAGTCTCTCCACTAATTATAGCATAAGCCAATGGGAATAATTCATTATCAACATCATAAGTACTTGCACTAAGCATTGTCCCTTTGCATGGACCAGATAGATGACACCCATCTATATATAATATGGCCCGACCAGCTTCTATAAACTGTTTTATACAAGGCCAATAGGCAATTATCACCTGCTGAAATCTATTACTTTGTCTAGCAACCTATTTAGCCAACGTTTTTGGATCGCTTTCCTTAAGTTTACCATAAATCCAAGGGATTAACCCGTAAGACTCTTTTGAGGAACCATGTAAATCAGCCAAAGCCTTCTCTTTACCTCTATATGATTGAAGGTAAGAAAGGCTCACACCATATTCTCTATACATGTCTCCTCTAATTTCATTTGCAGACTTGTTGATACTTGACCTTAGCTCATCTAGTAAAATAGATAATGTGAGAGAAGCTCTAGTCTTATGTGAGACTATGAGGTTATCTTGAACACAATGCATATGTTGATTAATAAATATTCTTACACATAAGAACGCATTGTCTTCCCCTATTGGCTTTTTATGTAGAAATTTTCCATCGGCAACCCTTAGCCACACACTTCACAATGATTTTCTTCTTGTCATTCTTCAGGAAGTTATATGTGAACTTGTGGGTAAGGCTATATTTGTGCAATGCTTGTCTAAATGCAATAGCGTTAGGAAATATCTGACTTATACTAATAAATAAATCCCTTCACTTTGCAGCATTCATCTCTATCATAGAAGTTGGAATACTTTGCATAACTAAGCTTCCTTCAGCATCAGTTGATGTCGCTATTTGAGGAGGAGACGGTGAGCTTACACAGTCTATATTAATGTCCCACTCACTTTGATACAACAACATTCCTTGAGTATCTCCATAGATATCATCTACACTGTATTCACAATCAACACCATATACGTTATGTGCAATACTAAATTTCAACCAACTAAAATTTACAACATTCAACTTAAATACTTACTCTTGAGAATAGTCAATTGGTGATGACTGTGTTATCATTCTCCCTCCTGCCTATATAAATGTGACCAGTGTTATCATTAAATTCAATCAGTTGAGCAACTCCAATGTCATTAATAAGATCTATCAATGTGGTTTCTTCAATCTTCACTGTGTACTTCAAGTCCATTGTCTTCATTCCAGGACACACCTCTAACAATATTAATCTTCTACGTACATCATATGTCATCTCCTCTATAATAATTCTAGCAACTACATTGCCTCGCTTATATTTCACCTTCCCTTCACCTGTCCTAACATAATGTCCACCATGATGGAAAAAACAAAATAATTTCTTCCCTTGAATGCTTGCCATTGATCATGTGAGGTTGAAATCTTAAATTAATGTAGAAAAGCTTACATGACATTAGTCATACAAAATTGACTATAATTTTTCTTTAACAATTACAAATCATATATTAACAACAAAAATTGCTATTTTAACAACACAAAAGTAAAAAGCTCCAAACTTTCAAGGCTTCAACCGAGCATATTCCAAAGAAACAATCCATTATTTAATAACTAAACTTTTTGTTTTAACAATATCACGTTACAGTTTTGACAACACAACATAAACCACCTTTCAAAAGGGCACTTTGTAAAGGGCACATGCAACTCACATTTAATGCGTTTGATACCTTCAGATTCACTCATGCTTCCTAGATGTTATTAAATGCTATACATTACCAACACATGACATACAGCTTTATGCACTAACAATGAAGAACATGAGAGATAGGGTCAAAAACATAGTTGCATTAATTACCTCAATTTGGGAGAAATAGTTCGACCATTTCAATGTACTCAACTCACTCAGCATATAGTTCGAACATTCTGCTACCTTCAACTCGCTCTACTAGCAACTGCCACATCATATAGTTTTCATGCTAGAACATTACCCATGACCATGAACAATGAGAGCATTTAAGGAGACAATAATGTAACACAATAATGGATGATTCTACATTTTTTCATCTGTAAGCTGCTATACTTCACTTGCAGAGCTGGTTCAGAGAGAAAGAAAATAAGGAAAAGCTTCGATTGAGATAGCCTTCAGCTGGGAACACGTTTCCAACATTTTGAGGGGCATTTTGGTCTTTTTCCTTGTGAAATTAATATGTAATAAGGACCAGCGGATTGTAGTGATAAAAGCAAATCATTTGGTCCTTCTCTAATATAAGTTTCATACGGTGGTCCTTAGATGCTATTTTCCCTAAAAAAATTATTAAAAATAATAACACTTAAGATTTTTTTTCTAATTGAATTGGTGTAATTTTATTGGATGAAGCATAAATGATGTGATACACCATGTCCATACAAGAATTGCTCGAGGTTTCTATTTCCTCTACACACCCAATTACTCTCTTGAGGCGGCAAGACACTAAATTTGGAGTTTTTGAAGCATTCGTGTAGCATATGAATTAGATTGATCATTAAAGGGTCAATATAATGTAAGAACCTTCCACTCCTCTCGTTATCTCAATATATATTAAGTTTACTCCTTTTGATGTTGAACCGGTCATATTAGAAGAAAAAGTTCTGGAAAACAATTCACTCTTCATTTCATTTTGAAGAAACTGGGATGAATCAAGCTATAGAGAAAAGAAAAGGGGGGAAAAAGTGACTGAAACAAAGCATATTCAAGATGCAGCCATTAAGAAACAAAAGTAGACGGCAAACATACGCACTACACATAATGTTAATTAGCATTACTATGGCATTGAAAATCCACGGCAATCTTCTCTGTAATTATGGCCACGTTCTAGGGATAATCAAGTTGGGATTAAGGAGAAAAGGTGGACAAGCAGAAACCGAGACTAACAAAGTCCCGTACATAACTCCTGCACTGATTGCGATATGGTAGTTATCTTTCTTACAGAACAGGAAATAATAAAATATGTAGAAATTTAAAAAAAACACACACTACAAATAAAATATGCGATCTGTTAGGCCCTCAATTGAGCAAGGCTATGAAAGAAGCATTGGGCCTAAGACACTGTTTACCTACAGCCCAGATAAGTGAGGAATCAGAGAAAAGAAGTTCTTCAGATGACTCGACATATGGACAGGAAGAAGTCAATGACTGGCTTCACAGAGAAATAAGGAAATAGGATAATGTTAAAAGGTAATTCTGGGATGGTTTCACTTTTGAAAGATATCAAGATGTCTTACTGGTTTGGTACTGATGCTGGACAGAGGTACAGTTCACTCCTATCTTACCATTTTAAACCATGTCAATCTGTTTTGCTCTTTACTTGCTAGAGTGTGGTTAACTATCAGAATCCAAGCAAATAACTTCAAATTTTCATCTTAGGAGGCGCTGAAAATACTCTCTCAAGAAACATTCAAGTAGATTGCAGCATCAAATGTCTCAGAACAACTTAAATCCTGTCCTTAGTCTTCACTCATAAGAACCCATCATCCACACTTGGACTTCCCAATACATACATATTGACAACTGATTCTCTTGAAGAAGACAAGTATTACAGACATCCTAACTGCGACCAACCCTAAGCATTTCAAATACCAGCAATGTATGATTATTGAACATAGGAGTTATCGAGCATCATGTAAAATATTTATTTCATGAGCTTTAGTCCCTGCACATGCTCCAGGTCTTCCTTAAAGGAATTTTACTGGTAATGCCTGTTTTTAATGCAGTTCCTAAAATCCCCCCTGCATTGCATTCAGAAGAGCGATATTGGTAAGAACTCTGCAGCAGAAAGGCTTTAACAAGCTAAGTGCTGCTTAAAAAGTACTTGCAGGATCATCTCTTTCCGCCAACTATTAGGTGTTAAATGAAAAGTAGGCAAGCAAAAGAAATTTCCCGAAAGGACAACATGGTCTTGTATAGGAAAGTTCCATGAGCAACAATGGACAAGTTACATGATGTTGTGGAAGCAGAGCCTTCCCTTTAAGACTAAAATAGAAAAGAACCTCCAGAAGCAAGGACAGTAAATAATTAGCATAGTAGGCAAATGCAAGAGTAATAAATTACAGTGATCTTCACGTTTGGTCATTAAAGTAAAAACAGCACACAAAAGTCTTCCATACTTGAGAATATCTAATGAATTAGTACAACTTACAGAGCATTTTGCCTTCATCAGTTTCCAAGTAACAACACTTTCTCAGCAGCCAAACAGAGGGCTGGAGGATAAATTGATCACAAGGGAAATGATTAAGAAGGCCAAGGGAGCTAAGCGAGCTTTTCTGATACCTGTGCTTTCCATCTCATTCATTCAAAAGACCAATAGACGAAGCATATCTTTGACGCTGAAATTGGTGCCAAAAAAAAAAAAAACAAATCTGAAGTCTATGACAGTTTACTCTTGATGGTTGTGTCTTTTTCTTTCAGGGTGAATGCACAGATTTTAAAATTCTTTTGCCAATTATGAACGTCGTTTAAACGGAGAAGACTGGCATGATTGGTCAAAGAAGGCCTCATCTTGAGAATGAAGATTCATAGAAAACTCAACTTATTGTATAAGGCTGTGGTCTGAACAGAAGCATCTTGTAAAATAGACAGCGCAGAACGTGAGAGGAAAATAATTGATGTTTGGAGTGACATGTCACAATATCATTACCTAACTTTACAAATGTCCGTTTTCTTTCTCCAGTTCTTCCTCTTTATGTGAAGCTTTTGAACGCATCCAAATTCCTCGGTACTTGATGATTCATTGAAAAGGAATCATCAAGTTTTCTATTTTATTTCTTCAAATGGGATTTGGCATGAAAATAATAATGGTTAAAACAGTGGCAGGGAGTATTTGCGTGAATGAACTTAATAAATCCAATGTAATGTGATAGAAACTAAAACAGGAAAAGACACGAAGCAAGGTTCAGGTATGAATAGAGATGCATGAAATGTTGTCGGAAAATTGTCTGGTAAAAGCTGATTAAAAGACATCATTTCTTCTCATTATCAGTGTTTCTTTTGTCCGCTTTGTGTGCGTCCATTATTATAATCGCCTGTCTCTCGTACACTGTTTTTCATTTCATGTCACCCACCACTGATCTTGTTTGATTCCTTTTTATATTTCCTTACCAATTCTTAGTTTCCCAGATTACTATCATTTTTGTGTGTGCGTCTGCGTTTTGTTTTACTTAATTCTCTCGTATAAATAATAATATATCATTCACGGAATGGATGATAGCTTTTGTAGTAATATTTAAGTATAGTATAAATTATAGAAATGTTGGCAAGAAAAGTTCAAACCATAGGAATAGTTTCTTTGAGAGAACAAAAATGTGGTTTAATTCCTGTTGGGACTTGAGAGCAACGACAAATGCCGACACAAATAATAGAAAGGAGAAAAGAATGAAAATATATTATTGGAATTTGATGTCATGCTATTTTAATTTTATTGTTTCCAAATAGATAGATGTTTATTAAATAAATCTAGGACAAGATCTAAGAAAAGCATATCGAACATTTAAAAAAATTTATTGAATCGTTTTTATCATATTTGCGTGCATGCACATATAAATAATTTAATATTAACTTCTTTTAGTAATTTAGAATACTCTGTCAAAAAATTTGTAGAAAATAGATAAAGTGAACATGAACCGGAAAACCTGTTTCTCTACTCAGCCATAGGATCTTGGGAGGTAAGTTTTGTAATTGTATCACCTAGTAGGCTTTTGCTTTCCCCTACGATATTGATATTCACAGTTCACACCAGAATGTTGGGCATAACTGTCATAAAAATTACCTATGTAGGTCCGTTTTGAAAATTGGACCGTTACTTATGATCATTTTTTTCATACAGGCAAGCCTTGCGTATACCGGCTTGCATGCCATACTTAACATAATTTTGAAGTTTTTATCTTTTAATGATCCCTTGGGTTGCATGGAGATTCTTCTATCTCGCATGATTTAATATAAGATAAAAGAATAAATTAACTCTTAAATTATAGCATATACATGTCTGAAAAATTATATTCTAAAAGAAAAAATTTCAAATATAACAATTAACAATTTTTTTTAAAAAAAATAATTAACAAGTCTATTTATGTAATATCTTTGTAACACTAACACGAGAAACCACATAGACATAATATGATATGCAGAATATATTAATTTTTAAAATATTTTAATATACAAGCACAGTAGGGAGATAGAGTCATTGTTGTGTCAAACTCTTAAGTCAACTTTTTAAATTTATTATTTTTACATTTCTAACTTATAAAATTGAGTTAGCTCACTCATAAAGTTAAACTAGATATAAATTTGATTAAACTTACTAAACTATTAATTTTTTAGCGAGTTAAATGTGTACTACTCTATTTTTATTTGTAAGAGAAATTATCACCTTTTACTTATTTTTTATATAAACAAAATTACATATTTTAATAAGCATTTATTACATATTTTTAAATCACCCCTCATAATTTACATTAACAAAAATAATTAATGCATGCTTATGTTAATTAACATAGGGCATTTTAGTCCAATTTTTTTATTTTCAGACATAATTATTATAGTTAACTAACTTTGTTAAATTGTGTGATATAGCTTTTTTCTCTTATATATAGAAACGGAGGGAGTACTCCTTCCATCCCAAATTATAAGATATTTTTAGACAAAATCTCACATACCAATAAATATCATTAAAAACACTTAACAACTTTATTTTTTAAAATAAAAATATAAACTTTTAAAAATACCTATAATTTAATATATTGCAAAAAAAGGAACAAAAATTAATTATAGAGAGAGAAAAGGCAATATTAAAATTAGTGCATTTAATGAAACATTAATCTAACCAAAGTGTCTTATATTTTGAGATCAAAAAATTCTTTCAAAAGTATCTTATAATTTAAAACAGAAACACTACTATATATAACTCAATCATAGAAATTGGGGGACCCACTTTAAAGAAAAATAAAAGTTAAAAAGTAAAACCAAATATCAATACAAACAAAAAATATTAAAAATAAGTTGTCATTTTTTAAAATTTTTGCATTGAGTATGATAATTTATTAATGTAGATGAATTTAATTTCAATGATTTATATTGAAAATATATTTAGGATCAAATTATAACCATATTTTATATTTTAATTATTTAATCATATACTTATAATGGTTATTTATTAATAAAAGTAAACTTTTACGAGTATACTATTTTAGTTTACATTTTCATTATGAATTTAACACTTAAACTCATGAGTTTGACAATCTTAGATATAGACATATAATTAATTCTATATATTCCCTCCATTAAAAAATATAAGATATTTTTGAGAAGTTTAATGTTATGTAAAGTATTTTTAAGGTAAAATCACTGTCTTTTTTTAAAAGTGTCCTTATTGATAAATAATTTTATATTTATTATAGGGTGTTTAATAAAAATAAATATGAAAAAGATAAAATTAGTTTAAAAATAAATAACTATTTTATTAAAAGGTGAATTTTATTAAAAATATTTTATATTTTTTAATGAAGGGAGGGAGTATCACCAAATCATTTTTGGCCAAAGTATCAAACCAATTGACTCGTTAAACGAAAAGAAGAGCATATGCTAAATGTCATAATATAAATGTGAAAAGAAACTACATGCATGAATAAAATGTTTATAACATCTTGCAGTAATAGATTTTTTTTGCTTTCACTCTTTCTTCTTAACACGAAAAAACATCAGTGGGGGGAAAAAAAATACAAAACCAATACAGTATTACTACGAATATCCATGAGTTCCTTTTTCTTATTTTATTGTTAAAAATTTGCATCACAACTAATAGATGCAAAACAGTAGGAATTGAAATGTATCTTCAAATGAGAAGCATTTATTTTATCATCATGCACTTGATATTGGTACCTCCCACCACTTTGAAGTTTCAGCGTTGTAGTTTATTGATATCCTATCTCATTACATTTCCCATATCTCCACGAAAGGAGGAGATGAATGTACATGAATCTTCTAGTTAAGAAATTAAACGCAATATTATTTGATAAATAATAATAATAATAATAATTTTGAGGCACTCAACAATCGATTAATCATTAGTAAGAGTTTTTCTTAATTGAACGTTTAGCTACCAATATTCTCTTACTGACCTCCTATTTTTGACTCCATCTAATATCTTAAAAAATTTGAAGATATCTCGACTATATCAGGATGCTCTTGACATTTTTATTTAAAATACAACTACATATTTTATGATTGAAAATAAGTTTATTTAAACTTTTTAACCAGCTGAATCAAAGTCCCTTCATTAACTTGCCTTTTCATACAGTTTTTACTTGATTTGTCACTCACCGGCCGTTTTGCGCTGAAGCTCAAAGGCATGAACAACGCGTTTGGATAAAGGAAAAATATCATGAGATTTATTTTAAAGATTCATATTTAAGTTAATTTTTTATATAAGAATTAGAAAATCACATCTATTTTATATTTGACACATATTAAAATAAAATGTAGACAGTCCAATTTTCATGTAAAAAATGAGAATTGGATGGGAGAAGAAAAGGAAGGAAGGAGACAAGGGGACCTAGTTTCCATGTAGCTCCACACAGCAACTGTTTTATATGTACCTCGCGAATCCTCATGGAATGGCACTGCAACTTCCACACCTTCTTCCTCAAACCCAACAGCCAACAAACCCTACTCTCCATCTCTCTCCCTCTCTCCCTGTGCAATGGCTTCTGCCTGTGTCAACAACATCGCCATGTCGCCGGATAACTTTCTCGATTCCCCTCCCCGCCCCTCCTTCCCTTGGCTAAGCCCTCCCAAATCTCACCCACCCCATTTCCCAGATCCCCGTCCTTCCCCTTCAGATTTCGAGTTCTCTCTTCAAGATCCAGTCGCCATGCTTCCCGCCGACCAGCTCTTCTCCAATGGCAAGCTCGTCCCTCTTCATCTCGCCTCCCTTCCCCCTTCTTCCACCGCCAAGTTCCCTTCCCCGGACGCCGCCTCCTCCGCCCATGTCTCCGCCGCCGACCCTTCCTTCTTCTCCCCCAAGGCTCCCAGGTGTTCCAGTCGCTGGAAAGACCTTCTTGGCCTCAAGAAGTTGTGTCACGCTCACACCACTTGTGCAGCCGCCAAGAGCGACCCCCAGAAAACGACGTCGTCTTCTCTAGCCAACATATCTCTCAAGCACTTTCTCCACAGGACCCCCAAATCTTCGTCCTCTTCCTCCTCTGCTTTTCTCTCCTCGTCCTTAGACGCATCCTTGAGTCTCCCGTTGCTGAAGGAGTCGGACTGCGAATCCGTTTCGATCTCTTCTCGTCACTCTCTCTCGTCTTCTTCTTCCGGCCACGAATACGAAGATCTCCCCAGGCTCTCCCTAGATTCGGACAAGCTCAACCCGAACCCGATCTCCCTCCATCGCAACCCGAACTCGGGTCGTCCGAGAATGAGGATGGTGAAGCCGAGGGCAGGGTCGTTCGACGGTAATAATCAGAGATCGCAAGGGGATCATCCATCCGGCAGTCGGGTCGGGAGGAGTCCGGTCAGGCGAGCTCCGGGGGAATCCGGTGGGGTTGGAAGCAGAGGAGTGTCAGTGGACAGCCCCAGAATGAACTCTTCAGGGAAGATAGTGTTCCAGAGCTTGGAAAGGAGCTCGAGCAGCCCCAGTACCTTGAATGGCGGACCGAGGTACAGGCAAAAAGGAATGGAACGGTCGTACTCGGCCAATGTGAGGGTCACTCCGGTTCTGAACGTTCCGGTTTGTTCGCTGAGGGGTTCTTCGAAATCGGGCTCGGTTTTTGGGTTCGGCCAACTGTTCTCTTCTCCACAGAAGAAAGAAGGCAGCAGAGGCCACCAACAACAGAGCCACGGTAGGAATCGGTGCGATCGAAACTAAGAAGCAAAGGTCTCTGGGTGCTTTTAATCTCTTGAGTGAAAATATTGCTGGATTTTACTGATTGGGATTAATTTGCTCTTGTTTAATTGGCAACAAACAATTTTAGATATTGACATATTGTATATACTCCTATGCCGGTGGAATTTTTCTGTTCTTCATCTTCAGCTGCCGCTTCTTCGCTCTGTTATTTTCTGGCCAAAAATATTATACGGAATCCATAATTTTGCTTCTATGAAATTTTCTTTTTTGGAAAAGAAAACCCTTCTCATGTCGAGCTTATCATATCTGGCTGCCATGTATAATATATACTAAATGCATGTGATGTGATGCTTAGTTATCAAACTTGTTATTAAGATGTTATGGCATTTATTGTTACATTTTATGAAAATTATAGCTATATTTCAAGCAACTTATAATTTAAATGAATTTATTAAAATGTACAAATTATCTTTTTTTTTAAAAAAAAAGAGATTGGGTGGATGACAATTTTTAAGTGTAAGAAATGCGAGCACTAATTGCGATTTTCAAAGACTAATTTGTTTGGATCCGGGAAAGTTAAAAGTGAGTAACTTTTCCTATGGAATTGTGGCCGGCTCAATTCATGAGCACGTGAAATATGCGACAAGTACTATTTTATTGAGCGTGCTGGGATTTGGAGGCACAATGTTAAGGCTGGAATAAATAAATGCATCGGGTCATGATTAATTAAACTCGGAATTGTTCAAGTCTAATACAAAAAAAATTTTTAGAAGGGACATTTTCAGTTAGCCTTAACAATATAAACCCAATTAATGGTAAAGTTAGGAGGGCGTAAAATATATTTAAAGTAGGGAAAATGATAAAAGTAAATGGAGATGAAATGGGGAGATTAGGAGTGGGGTCCACATGGGAAGAAGGGACAAGCATTGGCCATCAAAATGTGTACTTTGAAGGGAGTTAAAGAGTACAAGATGGCATGAATAAAGTCCAAAGGGGGATTTGATTGCCCATCAAGTTGGGAGGAAAATGGTTTCATTGTCACTGTGGAGTATTGATGCATAGATTTGGGGCATGTTTGTGAGCAACATAATTAAACCAATTCAATTATGGGAACCCTCCCTAATCCCATCAGATATTGTAGGCCCCATCCTTGTTTGTTCATGTTCAAAGAATTTTCTGTGTGTGGTAGGCCCTTTTGTGATCCACAACGTCACAACACTACAACACACAATACATTTCTGCCCCGCACACTTAGGCATTATTTTTACATGCTTTCGGGCTCAATGTGTTGGTAAGTACTAGTATTATACTCCTTCAATTTTTTTATAAGTTATTTTATCAAAATCACCGATATCAATATAAAAAAATATAAAAAATAAAAATATATAAAATTTAAAATATATTCTCATATAACAAATTTAAAAAATAATGTCATGTTACTTTTTCTCTTTTATACAAGATAATTTTAAAAATATTTACAAAAAAGTCATAATATGATTTATAAATGAAATCAAATAAATTTTTTAAAATGTGATTTATAAATAATACAGGAGAAGTATAATTTTGGTATTTTTAAGAGCATCATTGCTTTGATGTTCGACGTTGAAAGGACATAAAGGTGAAGAAAATAGTATTCTCTCTACCTCAAATCATAAGATACTTTTAAATAAAATCTCACATATTAATAAATTTTATTGAATACACTTTACAATATTACTTTTTTAAGATAAAAATAAAATTTTAAAAAATATATTTTATTTAATACTTGATTAATGTAAGAATATTAAATATATATATATAATAATTTAAAAAAATATTATTAATAAAATTTTATATTTTATTTAAGTATTTGTGTCTTAAAACGTTGAATCATTTGAAAAGTAAGACGGAGGGAGTAACCGTTTGACAGGTTGTCCATTCCCGTGTGAGGAAAACCATGAAACGATAAGAGACGAGGGGGTTTGAAATATCTGGTTTGACTGATTAATTAGGGGTCATGAGTATGACTTGATCTTTTCACTCGGGACTCGAGGTTGGTCAAATACAAAGCGAGTCTCAAAGTAAGCCAGTAAATGGAGGCACCAAATTATTAGTATTATCATTCTTGTCTGGTTTTACGTTATTACCAGTACAGCATTATAGTACGTAGCTCATAGAAAACCTGAAAACGGAAGTAGATGGAGAAGGGGGGTGTTAAGATGTGGTTTACTTGTTAGCATTTTTTCAAATGAAGAATAATTGGTTCAATCCAAAAAATATTAAATGACAAAAAACTATAACCTCATGACACCAAATAAATATAATCTCAAATGTTTATTTATAAAAATAAAGAAATTGTATTAGCACAAACAAAATTTTTAACTGATGAATATTTCATTTTTAAAAAAATATTAAGGATAACATTAAAAAAGTATCATTGATAAAATTTTATTTTTTATTAAAGTATTTTATATTTTAAAATGTACTCTTTTAAAAGTGTTTTATATATTAAGGCCAGATAGTAATTTGTAATTGACTTTTAAAATTTAATATTTAAATATTTTTTCCAAAAAAGGAATTATGTAATATTATATTTTTGTGAAGTTTATGTAACAGGAGTATTATATAATTATTAAGACTTGATCAACCAATTTCCCCTATGCTTTGAAACAGTGAAGTTGAAAGGGCAAGATGGGGGGGGGGACCTCTTGTTCGGATATTATGAATATCATATCATATGCTCTCTAGCTTACATTAATGTTACTCCTCTATGTTGTTGTTATTGTCTTTTTCAAGAGAGCATGGCATGTCAATGCAATTTAATTTAATTTTTTTTTGTAAAAATGTTAGTTTACGAAATATATATTTTTGAACTTTAAATTTTATATATGATCATCACATTTTTCTACTTTGCTAATGAAATCATCAATTAACTAATGATAAGATATTATGTGCATGTCCACATTAAAACTAGGGAGAATATCGTTGAAGGCCCTCTCAAGGGATTTACTTTCATTAAAAGACCACAACATTCTCAAATTATTCCACGGACTTGAAAAACAAATTGAAAATAAGTTTGCATGAGAATAAATGCCAAAAATACCTCCTTGGCAACCAGATAAATCTTTTAAAATAGCCAAGTAGGACTTCAACGTAACTCATAACCCCTGTTTCTCCAAAGCACTTGTGATCATTGAATCAACTTAACAATGCTCTTTGATTATGTTATGCAAAATAAGGTGTGCTTGAGCAGTGAAAATTCAGTGTACCAAACATTTACTTCCTCTGTTTAAAAATATAAGGTATTTTTAACAAAATCTCACTTTTCAATAAACTAATTATCTACTTGTAAAAAACCTTATCTTTTCATATTTACTCTTATTAAATACCTTATAATAAATATAAAATTATTCATCAATAGAGGTATTTTTTTAAAAAAATACAATGATTATGTATCAAAAGATTTAAAAATGCTTTTGCATTTTTAAACATCTAATTTCTTAAAAAATGCTTTACATTTTTGAAGACTGAGAGAGTATAAATAAAAAAAAGATGATAATTTTAAAGGAGTTATTGCCAATTTCCTAGATTGAAGTTGTTAAAATTCAAAATACAAATTATCAATATTTCGAAATAGATTGGCAATATACAAAGACCACTAAAATAAACAAGGAGTATTTTGGTTATTTTACAAGCAAACTTACTTTCAGCCTGAGCTTTAGGAGTAATCCTTTAATAGAAAAGAGAAGTATGTTATCCTTTAAAAAGAAAAGGCCAGCTATTGGTGTAGGTAGGATTTCATTTGAGGCACAGAGAGTAGTAATGAATAATGTATTTTAGTAGGAGGCAAAGTCCAAAGCCAACCAGACCTGATCATAAAATATTGTGGCATTAAACTTTACATTTAATGTGAAGCGAGCGAGTGTTTGACCAGTGGGTTTTCCAACGCTCACCCCCTCTATTTGTCCCATTCTACTTTAGCCGATCTTCCTTCCACCTCAACGGATACTTCAATTTATTATTCTGGATTCCCTCTAGATATCCTCCCAATTATTTTTATCAATAAAAATATACTATCATCCAAATTTAACTCGTCCAAATCACCATCTTCAATTCACTTAAATGTACATATCATGATGATAATGCTAATTTATACTGGAAACAAGGGGCTGCTTATTTTAAAGTACAAGTTGCAAGTGCGCTTCCTTCTTCCTGCCTGACCTGTTCATTGGTACAAATTTTATGGCGCATCAGTACTCCCACTCTGCCAATGGGGAAAAGGGCATTTTGGTCATTCCAGAAAAACCGGATCATTAATGGGACACAATTATGCATCCTGGATTTGTGGCAATAAATAGGAATTTTAATTGCAGCAAGCAACCACTCCATTGTTTGTTTGCTTCAGGTTACTTTAATTAATCATAGGCCAAGCCTGAGCCTAAGTTGGTAGTCTGAGTTGGGGCTTGGGAGGTAAATCAGCTGAAAGGAGAGGCAAATTGAGTTTTAGTTATTTGATGTGAAATGAGAATGAGAAACTGGTCTGCCATGATGAGAAAATGAAGTTTCAGGACACATACCAAACTTGACAGCAAATGATCTCTCTCCTCTCTCTCTCTCTCTCTCTCTCCTCTTTCTCTCTGTGATCCATGAGTCACCCACCTCCTTACCCTTTTTTGAGCTCTGTTTCACTGTTGCCACGGAAGGCAGCCTCAATTCCAAACCCAAATAAAAAGGCAATCTCAGACCCAATCTTCCCTGTTGAGTAATATTTAATGACACAGACTTTAACAAGAAAAAGGGTTTGAGGGATTTGGAGGCAGCAACGTGGTCATGCACAGTCCTGCATCTGCATAGATTCCCCTCCCTCCAATCCCCATCATCCCTCAGATACAACCCTTGTATCTCTATTTACTCTTGTTTATATCACCATCCACCACTTGCTCCTCTTTCTCTCTCTCTCTCTCTCACTCACATATGTATATATATACATACATATATTTGTTAAAATGAGTCAGATCCATGGTGTAGACTGGTTTAAGTAATCCATGTGGGTTATTAATTAGACTGCTTAGCTTCCACGGATGAGGATGAGACGGACACAGTAGACAGTAAAAAGGCTTTAGAAGAGTTGAAGGGGCAAGGAGGAGGGCGTGGATATAGATGAGGAGAGAATATACAAAGGGACAAGGGTACAGAGTGT